AAGAGCAAACTGATTATCATGTACAGTAGGCCCTGCAATTATTTTCATATTTTAAAGTAATTCAAGGTCATTCAAACAGTGAGATAGGAGTTTCAAACACTTTTCAAAAAGTCTGAATTGAAAAGTGTGAGTAAACAGAATATTTACTTGGATCAAACAGGAATCATATTTGTGCATATTTGCATACTATGAAGAGACTGTCAACCTCTCTGTTCTTTGTGGGAGAAAACAGGTGCATTGTATTTCAAATCACGCAGCCAATATTCACAGCCCATCATATTAGAAATATCAAATATGCTTCTCAGTGAACAATAGCTGCAATCAAACCAGAGTTCCTATAATCAACAGATGCAGCAATACACACCATGACTGACTCGCTCATGTCTTAATCACTATGGTGACCAGATGAACCTAGACTATCAGAAACATTCACATCCGCTGCATTCACAATGACACGATGATGGTGAAACTTCACAAATATACTATTAAAATCAGGGTTGGACTTGTTCAGTTTGAGTCCAAATTGACTGTAGAAGACAAAAAACACTTGGACATTTATCATGCATTTTCTCTGGCTCTGTTTGGTCAATCACTGCTGCATTATTGATTTCTTGGATCTTAAAACATTCAGACAAAATGCAAAAGAGTTAACGGCACTTGGTGCATCGGAATACACCTTATGAAGGAACTGAGAAACTGGAAAGCTGGCTTCCCAGAGACCATTTTTCCTTGTTTAAAATGCATCGTCAATGACTGTGCAGGAATAATTGGCACCTTGGAATCCTCTTGAACAGGAAAAATCAATGTGGCCTTTGAAACATAATGGACCGAATGCTCTTTGTTAACCTGATGTCTGATCGTCCCAATACTGGATGATGCACAAACACTAGACGCTCCTGAGGGGATGATTACAATCTATCTGATTTCGCCAAGTGTTGCTGGATCAACAGCGTTTGTTGGTGAAGGAACAAACATTTTAGTGAAACAAACACAGTTCAAAGCCAAACCCCAAACCATTAACTACCGCTACAATCAGAGGAAGATGTTTAGACAGATAGACAAACAGACAGATAGATAGATAGATAGATAGATAGATAGATAGATAGATAGAT